GAGACTAACAAATGAATAGATGTTTTTACTATTATTACTAATCTTTATCTCTTTGTAAGGCTTTCCTACAGTGACTGGAATTTACGTACTAGGAAATTATTTCTTGTAATGTTTTAGAGGTTTCTGTTAAAATAATGTTTAAGAAAAGAAAAATTTATAATACACATTTTAACCATTGACATTATTTCTCAATTTAAACTAATTTCTATCTTCAGTAAAGCACCTCGCAAAGTCGAATAATTGGGACCTGATCTGAAGCAACAGTGAATGGACTCTCAAGCATCAAATATGCATTGGATACGCTGATGACAGGGGATGAAACAATTGGTGTATACCATAAGAGCAAAGGGAAAACAAGGGGGTATTTGTATAAATTGCCTTTAGCATACCGAAGCCACCCAAATAAACTAGTAAATTGCAGTGTGCCACCTGTATATAGACAGCTTCCTGACAAGTCACCTATGGCCCCCCTGCCATATATATTGTCCAATCAAACTGTCTGTCTGAGGTCTTCATTGGAGACAGATTCTGGATCCCTCACTATCATACCAACAAAAAGGGACTTGAATAATAATTAATGCCAGATCCCAAAGAGTATCTTAGAACTTGACATGATATACAAAAGTATTCTTCAAAAGCGTTATATGCTGTGATAACAGCAATCCATAGTCAGAAAATTCATAACAATACGGTTGGTTAAAACTTGATAATTATAGGATTATGAAATGAAGAGGAACAAAACTAGTGCTGGCAGAGAACCATTTTAAATAATTATGATAATATTTAGGAGGACAAATGTCTCACTGTGGAAAGAATAATATAAAATATAAGCTGAAGCATTTTTTTCCAGTGGATTCCAAACCAATACTACTAGTGAATGAGAAAAATAAAATTATAAGCCTACATGAAATTATTTTCCTTTTCCACCAATTAAATAATTCAGACTATCATGCACATAAAGAGAAGAGTGTTTATAATATATATTTTTGAAAAATAGATTTCAGATACTCTCAAAAATATTTCTTAGAAAGCTGACTTTTAAAAGTTTTTCTATTTCTGATACATTATACTGGTCAAAGCAGCAGTGGGGACATGAAATTATCATTAGTTCCAGCTATTAAAAGAAGCAATAAACTGCCACCTTCATTAATCATATCTCAACCTCTAATCAGAAAATAGGGGTTATAAAAAGGCTACAATCAGTTTAATAGTTTGAGAATTAAAATTTATTTTAATGTCTAGCACCAGGGAATTGTTGGAAGCAAATATATTGACTACTATAAAGTGACCACTTGTCACCAGTTTTTATACAGAATATCAGCATCCACATTCAAATCAAAGCCAAATTCAAAATGACATTTTGCTAGCTATGAGCACTGAAAGATGATGTGAAATGGATTTATAATATACAAATAGAAATATATTCTGACAAATCCTGTCTATGACTTTCTTTTCTTCAATGCTAAAAGTCTATGTAAACTTCTGTCAAATTAGGCACAGATGATACTCCCATTGTACTCACAGCTGCTCTAAGATACTACCCTGCATTTAAGTAAATCTTGACCAAAAGATTCCCAGAGTGGTAGACTGTGTGGTTCTGACCTCTAATTCTAAAGGAAGTAAGACTTAATTTTGATAATTTTTGTAACCCCTACTTTAATGATTTCAGTTCCTGAAACTTTATTGTTACAGAATCATTTAGACTTTCAGAATTCAGTGGGGGAAAATGGCATTTTTAGGTTTCCTATTTATCATTTTTGGAGCTAAAGAATTGGGGAAAATAAGGGAAAATCCGAACTTTTTACCATCTTTTTAAAGCAAATAACAATGTATGTAGGATGCAATGAATGAAAGCACAGACTCTGGGGTTAGGGAGCCGTACCTCAGAATTTAAAACCATCTATTCGCATTGCCTTGATCAGTTTACTGAAAAGCCCTGTACTATAGTTTCTTAATCTCTAAAATGGAAGTGATAATAACTAATTCAATTTTAGCAAGAATTAATTACCTTTATGAGGATTGAGCAATTTATAGCTAGTATATTCCATTCAATATGATTTTATACCACATACATCCGATTATTAAAAATATTGCTTCATGAAATGTGATAATGACCTTAAAGTCAGTATATACAACATCACTAAGGATCATTACCTCCCTTACATATGTTTCCTCTCTGTCCACATGAACCCAAACCTGAATACTCTTTCTTTATGAAAACTAAGATATTGAAGTAAAAACTAGTTATACTAATAAATGATCAAATGGCAACCCTTTAATTCATATCTTTCTAATACATATTGTCTTAAACCTCATTTGAAATTGAAGAAAAGATTTCCTTTAGCATTGTTGTGTGTCATTGGGCAAGTTACTCCATCTTTTGTTAACATCAATTGTCTCATCTAGAAAAGTGACATGAAAATAGTGTTAATTCTTAGAGTTATTGTAAGAAATAAATGAGATAATTCATGCAAAGTATTCCCCATAAAAATGATAGCTTCTACTGTCACCTATCAGTCATATGCTATTGCTTAAAATTGTTCAAAATTAAGAATTGATTTCTGAAGTCCTAAAATAGAAAGCTGACGTTTTGGATATTGTGAAGTTAATGTTAGTTATAGCCATGAGAAATATATATCTACACATATGTATAAAAATCCTGAAGAATTTGCCCTGCACTGTTTCAGACATAACCATAGTAGACACATGGAAAAAATAAAGTTATCAGAAAACAACTGTGTTAAAAAATATCTGAATTGAATGTAGGATTCGGGAGAAAATTGTGCTATTGAAAGAATATGTGAAAATTACCTTTTCTCTATATCCACACATTAACTCTTGAAAGTAATTTTCAAATGAGTAGAATTTATTTTTAAAAAATATTTGAACAAGATGCTTAACAATTCCATCATCATATCATATTGCTCTTTTTTAAAGTTAACAACTTTTAATATTTAATACCAAATTTCAAAAGCTATTTAACAAATTAATACAATCATGTACTGCATAGCACTGTTTCAGTTGATGATGCACCACATATACAGCAGTGGTCCTGTAAGAACGTAATGGAGCTGAATAATTCCTGTAGCCTAGTGATGTCTTCATTATCCTGATCCTGCATGGTCCTAGGCTAAAGTGTGTTGTGTCTGATATTTAAAAAAAAAAAAAAAAAAAGTTTGCAAGTGAAAAAATGAACAAAAAATAGAAAAAAGGTTATAGAATAATAATATAAAGAAGGAAAATATTTTTGTACAGCTGTACAATGTGATTGTGTTTTAAGTTTTATTATAAGAGAACCAAAAACTTAAAAAAAATTAAAAGTTTAAAAAGTAGAAAAGTTACAGTAAGCTAGCTTAATTTATTATTAAAGATGTATTTCCCCCATAAATTTAGTGTAGTGTAATTATAGTGTTTATAAGTCTACAGTAATGTCCTAAGCCTTCACATTCACTCACTTACTCACAGAGTCTACCCAGAACAACTTGTCTTGAAAGCTCCATGCATATTAAGTGCCCTAAAACAGTATACCATTTTTTATATTTTATGCTGTATTTGCACTGTACCTATTCTAGGTTTATGGATGTTTAGATGCATAAATACTTATCATTGTGCTACAGTGACCTGCAGTATTCTGTGCAGTAACATGCTATACACGTTTGTGGCATAGGAGCAATAATCTGCACCATCTAGCTCAGGTGTATAGTAGGCTATGCCATCTAGATGTGTGTAGGTACACTCCATAATGTTCACACAATGGTAATAGACCACTTACTCAGAACATATACCTGTCATAAGCAGCATGTGACTATACACTGTGTAGAAAAATATTTAAAGCAAAATTCAGGATTTCTTGTTATTGTACATAATTATAAAATGACAACTTTTTTTCCCAATGAAAATACCACTCCAAAAACTTTTCGATAAATTTGAATAAATAAAAGTTGTGGAGATATAGATACAATAGTATTATGGTCATATATTAAAAATCACATATAATATGGAATAATCTTTTAATTTAAACATAGGCTTTTTCCCATGCATTTTTCATGAAATAACTTTATTTAATATACTCAAAGAAGCTTTGACTTCACTCTGTCAGATTTGAACTCCTTAAGTGATTTATTTTTCCAGAAAATGTCATGTTATTTATAAGTTGAAATACAGCATGTTTTGAATCATATATGACACCATCACTAAAAATTGTATTCTTCTACTTAAATAACTATTACCACAAATTTAGAACATTTGTTTTTGTACTGTATTATTTGTTTATTTTTTCTTATTCACATTATGGTTTTATATATGGGCTCTCTAGCAACCATGTCAAATATTTATCAAATTATTTTACATTTTTTATTATACTTCTATGCCATTAGTGATAAAAAGTACTCTTTCCCCTGATGGAGTGATATCAGTGGAAGCCAACTTAAAAAATCCCCAAATTAGGCAAAAGACATAAGCAGGATAAATTGACACATAGTCAAACAACTAAAAGCTAAAAACAAAGAAAATAATCTCAAAAGCAACAAGAGAAAGTGAGAAAGAAATTTGGATGACAGTGAATTTCTCATCAGAAATTATGGAGGCTAGAGGAAGTGGTTTCCTTTTGCTGAAAAAAAAAAGGGCCCAGAATTCTATATCCAGTGAAAATATCCTTTCTGATAAATTGAAAATGAAAACATTCCCAGATGAAGGAAGACTAAGAGAATTTGTCACTAGCACATCTATCCTAAAAACACTACTAAATGAAGTTCTCCAACCAGAAAGGAAGAGAAAAATTAATGACTTTTGGAACAGCATTCAGGAAGGAAGAATGATGAACAAACAGAGCAAACACATGGATAAATACAATAGATTTTTCTTTTAAGTTTTACAATTATGATTGACATTTGAAGCAAATATAACCTCTCTCTAATGGTTCTGGACAGGTTTATTCATTATAGATAAACACTCAAGATAACTCAGGTGTTTATAAATAAGAGAATGGATAAACAGGCTGTTATATATTAATATAATAGAATACTACTCAGCAATAATATGCATCAATCAACTAAATCATATAAGGACTTGAATCTATCTTAAAATAAAAATTCTGCGTACAAAAATACTCATACAAAAGGGTACATACATACTATATGGTTCTATTTATATGAAATTCGAGAAGATATAGAACACATCTATGGTGGGGAAAAAGTTGGAACATTGTATGGTTACTTTTGGGGGGGTGGAGGTTGAACAGAGATAGACTGGAAAGGTCATAAAGGAATTTTCTGCATAACTTACTTTTTTTTGTAAACACTTTAAAGACAGACCCACAATGCCTTTCAAAGGTAAAAAAGAAAATGCCCTTTTCCTCCTGGGCTGAAGGGTGAGGGGAAGGATGGCAGTTTATTCCTTCTTCTCTCAAACTCGCTCTCATCCAATTTGGTGTCCTCAGGGAGGAAGGGAGAACCATTTTCTGAAGTCAGTGCAGAAGGGGTGCCCTGTTCCCACGGGTGTCCCCAGCTCAGCTCTGCCCCAGTGTCCGATGAGCCTCCTCTCGGGGGACAAGGGGCTGTCTGTCCCTATGAGAAAAATCTGCAAGCAAGCCCAGCAGGGTCCGTCCGCAGGGTGTTGCGGACAAGATCCGTTCACTTCAAACCATGCAGCTTCTGTGATAGATGCACAGGCAGGGCGGCCTGGCTACCGTGTCCCCCTGAAGCAGCTCCTCCAGGCAGATCACACGCTCGCCCGCGTCTTTAGTCAGCGCGTCGTCCGTCATCGTTGTAGGAGAGGCGAGGTTTGCTCAGACACGTTATAAAGTGCATTTCCATCTCATCAGAAGCCACAGACTTGGACCAAATGGGGCACTTGAAACCACTGTGCGAGCTGCACCACCTGGGTGCGATGTGCAGAGGTAGAGCATCCGCCAGCGAGACTAGGGAGCCCAGGTACAGCATCCCGTCTCTATGGTGACCGCTGCCCGTCTCCTGGTAACCATTGCCATGGGCATGGGTAGAGGTGGCCGCGGACCCTCCTCCGCAGGGTGCCCTCTCGGAGTAGCCAGTCCCCCTGGAGGTGGGGGTGTAGAGGCCAAAGGGCTCCCCCCAGCCGTGCTGGGGTCCATGCCATGCCTGTCACCGAGCTGACTGAGCGGCTGCACAGCCCCATGGCCCCGCCGCCAGTCCCTACTGCCCAAAGTGGGGCCCCCTCCCAGCTGAGACATAGTGCTGTCATCGGTGGAGACCCTCGGGAAGGAAAACAATATTATCATCACACACATGTTTATACTGTCATCATCACATTACCACAATTTGGGTCTGGGTTTATGCTTAATTTAATTCTATCCTTACAGTGGAATTTGCCATATCTTTTGGTTTTATCTGGAATTATTTTCCTCCCCCAGATAGCTCCATTATTTGGCATTTAACAAATAATTTAATCTTTACTTTAAAAATCAACCATTACCAGATTTATAGTGAGAAGTGAGCATGGCTGATGGCAAAGTTGGGACAGATCAAGTTATGTTGATGGGAAAGGGCAAATGTTATAAAGGTGTTGAAGCTGGAAAGGTTCAGATCTGATTTCCTAAGGAAAGCTTAGAGTACACAAAGAATAACTCTATTAAAAAAATATAAGAGAAAAGAGTTTTATCAAAGGGATCCAAGTGAAAGTGGTGATTAATTTCCACAATCAAAGCTCAAAGATTTCACTCGAATTTATAGCATAAAATCTAAGATCACGTGGATGCCTCACCATAAGAATGGCAGGGGAAATATTTAAAATCTAGGGAAAAGGGAAGTGACAGAGTGAATGTACAGTCAAGTCTTTTAAAACAAATAGGGTTCATTTACTAGGGCAACAAATTAGTCAGCTAATTGGAAACATAATCTTGATAATAAGATTAAAATCCAATTTCAGCACTAAAGAATTCTTTACATTTATATCTCTGACTCTTAATAATAAGACAGAAACCCAGTTTTTAGCAGTAAACCTTCCTAAAAGTATGGATTTCACCATGCAATAATGTTTCTTGTAAAATCATAACACATAAGTGAACAAATAAAATTTTAAAGTCTCTTTAATTCCTATTATTTACCAATTTAAAATTGCATTGCTTGGCTTTCAGAAAAAATATTCCATAACCTCATTGTCTTCATTTTGCCCTAATCTTTAGTGCTCTTAGTCAGGAGAGTCTCTGTATTGTCTAACAAACTGTAGCATTTAGTAATCATCACATGCCTTACCTAGAATGCTTTTCCCTCTAAGGTTGCCTAGTCATCCACCATTCGAATCTCACCTTTGTCTAGTTTCTTCCCATAAATGTTTTCATTTCATGAACACTATCTTAAATGCTGTAGTCTCTGTTGATCCTAATTTTTCTAAACTCCTACAAAATATATAAATACATGTTAAACAAAATATGTCACATTATTTTGTATTTTTAAATTTTTAAGAAAATTTTGAAACTTCATGCTTTTAGTTTTTCTGTCCCAATGAAAGCATAAAGTTCTTGTAGCACATGGTTTATATCTTATGTTTTATTACCTATATTTATCTATATTATCTGTTGGATAGATAGCAAGGGACCTCTGACTTTCCTAGGGACAAAAGTGGGTGCCTTGCCTTCATGCTGCCTCAAGCAATTGCCCTACGGGGGGAAGAAGGACAAAGGGGGCCCCAGCCTTGGTGCTGCCCCCCCCACCTTGATCCTGCCCCAGCAACTCCCACACCTGGGAAGAAGGAGGAGTACCCTGCCAATCTGCAAAAGAATGCAAGGAATTCCCCAGCCCATGGGCCAGGCAGCCCAGTAGCAATAGGATCTGGAAAGTGACCTAGAGTAACCTAAGGCTAATTATCATGTTGTTAACTGTCCATCAAAGTGCTTCAGTGGTGACCTCTGAACCATGAGGAAGGCCGGATCTGATCCAGACACTATAAAACAAGACCCTAGACCACTACCAGAACCCTTTTGTTATGTTTTGTTATGACGTGGGGGGGGGGGTGTGCTCGACCTTCTGTGGCCAGTGTATCTTGCTCTTGTTCTGTGAACCTGTATCTTGCTCTTGCAAGTATAAAACTATCTTGTCCACCCTCATTAAACGTTGTTTCTCACTTGTCTTGCTTTTGGTGTGTCTGGTCATTCTTCAGCCAAGAGCACACCAAGAACTGTAAACAGACAACTACTAACTCAACAAATATAGTAAAGTTTATGAAAACATAATGTGTGTGTTATAAAAACAAAATGATGCTAACTTTCATACACAGTTTGCAGGACAATGTATAGTACTGGGCTTTGAGGTTCAAAACCCCCACTGTAATTACCTTTAAAAGTTGGCATAATTTGCAGGTATATTCAGACTCTAGAAGCTGAGCTTTTAGCACCAGAGGTGACTCACAATGCTTTTATCTTTTTCTCATAGTTTAAAAATATTGTTAAGATATACCTGATTTATTCTTCTTCTCTCAGCTATTATGTTTTTCTTCCTTATTCCCCTGGTATAAAACTTACAGAACCAGCAGGACTTGATTATACCTATTTTAGGCAGAGCCAATCCCATGATGCCAATAGTCACTTTGGTCCAATAAAGACTAGTAGTAAAAGTTTAACAGCTTTGTTACAAACTATCTGATAGCTCTTCATGAGTTGGGGGTCCCTAAACTGGTAGTTTCCAATAGAAAGTGATATAGCAACTGAAATGCACAATCATGGTAGCTACTTGATTAAGTGGTTTAGGAAAAGATTTTGGTTTAGTTTTATTCTTGAAGGGTAATAGAGTTTTTCATTTAATGTACTAAAAAGTGGCAAAAAATTCCTCCACATTTGCTTCTCTGACTCTCCCATCATCTACCTCTAACTGACATGAGATACCTTATTCTACTTTCACCCTTACAATTATTTGTCATTTAACTACTGGGCCCCTTACATTCACATTACTATTAAAGGTGTGTGCCAATATTATATTTATTGTATTTGGAAGTTTCCCTCTTTTTCACCCCGTATACTTGTTTACAAAAATAGACAGATAGATGATAGATATACACACAGAATTCTCAAATATTGCATATGAAATCAGTTAGTCAGATGAAAAAATATGAGATTCAGGATAAATTATTTCAAATATAGTCCTTTTTTGAGATAATGGTATATTAAGAGGATTCAGGACAAGGTTTTGTTAGTTTCTGGTCATTGTATGCCATTACTTCCTAAAATAATTTACAGTCCAAAAGAGATAATAATGGTGATTATATATTTGCTGTCTTGGTTTTTCATTTGAGACTTACAAGTTTTAGTCCAGACTTCATAAATCTAAGTATTCTCAAAATATTTAGTATTATAAAGTTGTGTGGGTTAAAAATTATTTGATAATATGACTATTTCCCCATTTCCAAGTCCACTCCTGACACCACTCACATTCATTTGTTTATTTTGTGCAGAATAACGTTAACTCTAGCCTAATTTTAGAATCTACACAAACAAGTTGAAATTAATTTTTTAGCTGTTATCAAAAATAATGTAATTCTAAGACAATTATTTTACCATGATCCTGAAGAACCAAATAATATATTTTATTTTTTGCAATTCAAATATTTTCACAATTTAATATATCAGAAATGTGACTGTATATTATATTTTACAGTTTGCTTTACTTTAATTGATGGTGTGTTTTTTCCCTTTGTTTTTAATTATATATATATGTGTATATATATATGTATATATATAGTAATTGTATGAATCATAAGTAATGGCAACTTAGATTTGATAAAAATACATGTTGAAATACAGAATGCAAGTTCATTAATATGGTTAATAGATAGGCTTTATTTAATAAATATTTCACAAGTCATGTCAAATGTATTTTGGCAAAAGGAAAGGGGAATATTTATGATAAATGGTAATGGTTTGGAAATGTTTTTGAAATCTGCTGTTGGAAATAATAACCAGGAAAAATAAAACAAAATAGTTTTTCTAAAAATCAAGAAAATAAAGGAAATGTAGTACAGAAAGAGCTCAGGAATATTTGTACACAAGATGCATTATATAGAATAGATGAAAGCCATTAACTTCATTACCTTCTCTATGAATATACAGATGATGTGATGTTTCAGAACCATTAATCTATCACCTCTAATGGGCATTAAATCCCAGTTTGACTAACAAACACCTATGTTACAGCCATAAAAAGTTAATACACCATGGAGTGTTTATCCTCTGCGTGACATATCATAAGTGGAGAAGCTTTTGACATATTTTTCATCTTCAGAAGCTATTCTCTTGAAATTTCTCTCATGAATCAGAATTGTGGTCCATTTAGCCCAGAAGCTTCAAGTAAGTGGCATTGTGTAATATCCTTCTTTGTCATTTTTGTAGCTCTGAGTTCCATCCATGTGTGTTTATAATAAATGAGCTAGACTTGTTAAGTAGGTGGGTGATCAAATTGGGGATTTGTGTCTCCTAGCTCTTCCATTCTATTCCACACAAAAATTTTTAGTGAAAAGCACTGAAGTGAAAATAATCCATACATCATGTTTGTTAATGAACTTGTGAAAAAAAAAATGCCATTACAAACAGGAATTTTACTGGTGTCAAGTCATCGCCATGTGTCACTGAAGAGCTTTCCAGATTTGTGCATGCCATAGATGACAGCAAACACCTCCTCACTTTTATACTACATTATTTAAAATACATAATGGTACAAAACTTATTCTTCTGTAATAGCAGTTACTAGTGGTTAGAATACACAAGGTGCTGTTTTAAGCATTTGACAATTATTTGTGAAATGCATAGTATTAAGGGTGCCCGTTCCACCTAGCTTTCAGAAGAGAAAATTTTGAGTTTACATAAAAGGAAACAATACACAGAGGTTCAGTACTTGCCCATGCTATCACAGCTAAGGAGTGAAGGAGTCAGGCTCGATAAAGTTTGACACTGAGTCTATATTCTTACTGACTATGCTATATTTTCTATCTAGGTATAGTAATATACTATTTCTAGAGAGATTTTTGGGTTAAACTCAAAAGCATGAAGATATCAATTAATTCTTGGCCAGGTATAAATATACCAAAATTATCCAACACATAGTATGACACATACATGGATACCCAGAGCCAGTTAGTTACAGGACTATTTTCTTTAAAATATTGTTTCCAAAATATATGTTGTTAGAGTATCCTGTTAGTACATAGTATTCCCATGCTGTGTGACAGCTGATTTGAAATCCCAGCCAGGGAAAATT